AGTTTCTCCTAGGAAGGGAGCAGCCATGTGCTCTTAGCAGAAATAGCTCCCACGCTTACAGTTGTACCTAAGATGTTTAATAGCAAGGTCAAGGTTAGAGTCAATGTTAATTTGCCATAAAGAATGAATTACTGCAGACACAACAGCTCATCAAGTATCCACATTATGTCCCCTCTTTATCTTCATCTTTTCCATAGAAGGCAAAGAGGACCACACTATTAGGAGCCAGAATTTCTATTTAAAAATCATTTTCTGTCATTCATTTTATTATCTTAGCTTTTTTGACCTGTCCTAAAGAGCTCAGTCAGGCCGGGTATTTGTCATATGATTTGAGTCTCTGCAAACCTCCGGGAGCCTCCAAGCAGAGACTGACATTTTATTTCTTCACCTGTTATGCTGACCCCATATTCATCTGAGCACAGTCAGGACTGAGTGGCATGAATCAGTGAGTGACAGTTTGACCCAAGCCTGGCTGATTGTGTAAGCCCAAGCTCTGAAGTGGCTGAGGCTGCACACACAACATAGTATCCTGAAGTTATTTTTAGGTTTCCTACCTTAAAATATGTTTAAAATTTTTCATATAAGTAAAATGTGTATTTATCTGAGTGAAAATGCCATGGAGTCCATTGAGGCCTCAGATCATCTGGGGCTGAGTAACAGGTGTTTGTGAGTCACGACGTGCTTGCTAAAAGCTGAGCTTAGGACTCTGGAGGAGCAGCAAGTTCGAGACCCTGGCCTCAATCTCCAGTACTGATAATAAGGCTTGGGTGGCGTGTGTGTGTGTGTGTGTGTGTGTGTGTGTGTGTGTGTGTGTGTGTGTGTGTGTAAATTCTCTCTGGTTTGGTGGAGGATTTGCAACCACTCTAAATCACTGAGCCATCTCTGAAGCCCTTGGATTTTCTTTTTTAACTGTTTGTTTCTTTTATTTTGCTCCTTTGTCAGTTAATTACAGGTCAGAGTGGCCTGTTGGCAACTTCTAACTACAAAACTAACACACACAAGTACAATAGATGCTCAAGAATTTGAAACTATTTGAACCCTCCTGTATGCTGTGACTGAGCCTATAGTTGTGGGATTTGGTCCTATTATAATGACAATAGTGCCATGAAAACAAGCTCAGAACTTGTAGGTAGTGTGACTATCTTACCTTGCTGAAAAGGAACCCACAGTTAGAGTCATTTTAGGAATTCCCTGGGTGTCAGGAGGCAGAATATGTGACAATCTGGAACAATGGCTTCTTGGAGCTCCAGGAGTCTCCCTACACCATGGTAAAAGAGATTGGCCACAATGGACCCCCACTTGATACTTGATCTTCCCAGAATGTCTTCCTTTTATCTTTCTCATCTTTCTGCCCTAGTTTCTTTCCCAGAAGCAGTTTCTTTCCCTGATTTCATTCTCTTGCTCAGTGACCCCTATGGTATTCTTCAGACAACTTGCACCACTCTGCGGTTCCAAAATCTACACTTCCAGTGGACAGAACGCATTGATTAGGAGCCACACTAAGCGTTCAGCTTCTTGCTTCCTTCTACTCCCCTCTCCTCTCCAGTTCCCTCCCTTCCCCTCTCATCTGTCTAACAATCTAGGAAATGTAAAGACAAGTCACTTTTCCACTTAAAACCCTATCTGAGCTGGTCATTTTGTTTCCTAAAAGATGGCTGCATCCAGAGACACAGAACTATTGGGATATACAGATCCTCCAAGGAGGAATTTATGTCTGCAGTCATGGGAGCTGGCTAGATAAGCCAGAAGTTGAGACTATAAGACAAGTTGTCAGGAAGAATGGGCCAGGACTCTTGGACTAGGGGCTAGTCCACAGTAGACGTATTCTTCCTCATCCAGGAAGCCTGAGCTCAATTCTTAAAAGTTTTTTTTTCAGTAGATAACCACACCTGAATCATCTAGAACAATCTCCCTTACCTCAAGCCTTCAGTCCTGTCTGCAAAACACTCTCACAGCAACACCCAGGTGAATGTCAGGATCAATAACTGGGTACTATGGTCTAGACAGTGGGCACGTATATCTATCCACCAGAGCCCTCATTTGAAGACTCCTGAAATACAAACTTTGATATGTTATGAATTCCCAAACCTTTGCATCTTTACATGAATTATATGAAGTAATTAAAGAACTATTTATTCTTAAATGAATATACTTATATATGTATATTATTGGATATATGTCCAGGAAGGACAACTTGGATGAGGTAGCAAGAAGGTAAGTCTATGAACTCTGATTTAGAGGTCATTATTTTAAATTGGTGGTTTGAATTTTCCTTTCAATACATTAGTTTCTCTACCTTCCAGAATGATCCACTGATGTCTGTGCTTATTGAGGCACCATTTAGGTACCTTTGATAGTTCATGGAATTAAACAGCTTGTGTACCTGTGGTTCTTACATTCTTGGGAAAGACTCAGATAAACAAAACAACTACAAGATCATGTAGAGGTGATAAGGTGTAGTGAATGATAAGAGTAATAAAGAGTAAGAGGAGAGAGAGACAGTGCCGGGTGTGTGTGTGCAAAGCTATCTACATAATATGCAGGCTCCAATGTGAAATGCAAATTTAGTGTCTCCTAATCAGAGCCTAGGAAAATACATAAAGCTTTCTGCTTGGCTCATGAATCTCTTCCCAGGAACATCCCAGCAGTTTCTTATCATTATTTACTATTTAGTTCTGCTCCAAGGAAAGAAAAAAAAAAAGACAGAAACAAAAGATGGAAGCGTTAGATGACCACCATGAGCATCTATGGTGCTCTCCTTCAGTGCAAAGGTAGGGGTAGAGTAGCAGCCTGTGCAGTTAGCATTTCCCAGATCAGCCTGTGGTTTGCTTTTATTCAAGGAATAAAGGTGCTGCATGACACTGCCCTTCCCGCTTGAATTTTATTTCTTGATATGTGTACATCATGTTCCACCTTGGGCCAGGTGATGAGCAGGGAAGAACCACAGGGGGCAGTAACTGTGATTGCCCCATCTCTCCCTTCCTTCCTGTGCTGTTATTTCATTGTAGGTTGTTGCCAGATCCAATGAAGGGATGCCATGGAAAGGAGAGGGCTCCTGATCCCTTGTGTTTCTAGAACATAGTTGACTTTGTACTTGAAGTAAATTCTGACTCCTAAAGGTGGCCTCTCTGGCTGTCTATGTCCTTGCTTCCACAGTCATAGGCTTAACATCTTGTCTTCTACTCACCTTGACTCTTGATGCATTCTAGGTATCTGGTCCCATCAGAATTCTTAGTCACGGGCCATCACTTATACAAGTGGGAAGTGATGATTGAGGAGGCTCCTCTTATTGTTGTCATCTCCTGTTGTGACCGTGTTCACAAGCAAAACACAAATCCAAACATACACTTATTATGGGTAGGGAACTTGGGGGCCTGGTGGGGAGGGAATGGGTAGAAGGGGAGGGAGAGGGAGCTGGGATTGACATGTAAAACAAACTTGTTTCTAACTTAAAAAAAAAAGGAAGAAGTAAAAAAAAAAAAGAATCTCAATATGAGTACTAAGCCAAGTAAGAAATTCTTTGGGGGGTGTGGCTCTCTTGAGCAGGGGGTTCTATGTGTTGGACAGGTTGTATGCTCATGAAGTTGTGTGTGTGTGTGTGTGTGTGTGTGTGTGTGTGTACCTGGGTGTATACACTTTTAGATAGTACTGATGGTAGAGATAGGTGACAAAAGCGTTTATGAAAGTGAGGACACCAGTCTTCCAGATACCTTGGGTAGAAGCAGCATGTTTTGAGGTTCCAGAATACATGTGTCTTTGGTGTATTCTCAAATACTAAGGAGGCTGCAGTGGCTGGAACCAAAACTGAAAGCATGAGGGACAGTGAGTCTCTGAGTTATAAATAGCTTCAGCAGCTAAAGTAAGAGCTTTTTTTTTTCTATGAAAAGATGAGGATACTTGGGAGAGTTTTAGTAAAGGCATAACATACTATACCACAGCTGAAGTTTAGAAGAATCTGTTTGACTTTTGCGTGGTGATACTTTATATTGGGAGCATGTTAGAAGTGAAGGAAATAGTTGGATGCTGTTACAATAGTCTAAATGAGGATAAAACCTGCTGTTGGGTGGCATAATGTCCTGGTAAGTTTTTATTGTCAATCTGACAGGATCTTAAGTCACCTGGGAAGAGGAAACCTCAAATGAGGAAGTACCTCAATCATATTGGTCTGTGGCAACATCTGTGGGAAAAGGTTTTGATTAATGATTGATGTGGGAGGTCCTGCCTACTGTGGGTGTACCCATCCCTAGGTAGGTTGACTGGAACAAGGTGGTGAGTGAGCCAGTAAGCAACATCCCTCCGTGGTTACTGCCTCCAGATTCCTATTTTGAGTTCTTGTCCTGACTTTCCTGAGTGATGAGTGTGACCTGGGAGTGTAGGCAGAAATAAACCCTTTCCTCCCAAAGTTGCTTTTGGCTAGAGCATTTTATCACAGCAACAGAAAGGAAATTAGAATGCATAGATGGCAATTGTCAAACCCAGCCACATTTGGAACAGTTTTCAAAACTGATGCATTGGGCTGCCTATGCAAATGCTGTGTCCCTGGAATCTTAGCTGGAAACAACAAAGAAGGGTAGCCTGCTGAGCAGAAAATTTCCCAATGTCCTACAACCAGTTCAGGAGAGAGCTTGGCAGGGCAGGGAACAAAAGTCTCACGGGCTTTGCTCTATTGTCCTTACCTGATCATCCTTTCTGATGATGCTGAGTCTACACCGATCATGTCTCTAAGAATTCATACACATGCCTTGGAAAAGCTCCTTAGATGATCAAGTCTTGGGCGAGATGATGCCACCATCATGTTGTATCTTCTTGTCTCTCCTTGGGACAGACTGTTTCTGACAGCTTCATTTTAGTCCAATCTTTATAGAATTTTGCCCTCTCCATTGAATAAATATCTCTTGGCCTCACTTACTACAACAGAATATTAAGACAAAGCATTTGCTACTGAGTTTGATATGCATCCAAGTGATTTAACTCTCTTGGTCTGTTTCTCTGTGTTTCAGCACTTCCAGACCATGCTGAAGTCTAAATTGAATGTCCTAACACTGAAAAAGGAACCTATTCCAGCAGTCATCTTCCATGAGCCAGAAGCCATTGAGCTATGTACCACCACACCACTGATGAAGACAAGGACTCATAGTGGCTGCAAGGTACAGGACATGGGGCCAACAGTGCTTCTCTTGGTGGGCCAGACACAAGCATGTATGACATGAGGGTCTTGTTCCCCAGGGGTGTTCATGTTTCAAGAATGAAAATATTACATGACTTGCAAGCTTATTGAGTGATATTGGTTTGAACTCACATCCTGATTTTTTTTCTCTCAACAATTGAACATTTTTCATCATTTGGGGGCATGCATCAACCATATAGGCTTTAGTATGTGTGCATGAAATTACATTCTTATTATATTTCAGTGGCTATATGAAATTTTAAGTTTCATAAGGGAAGTATTACTTTTTAAGAATTATTTTCCATGCACATGTGGCATGTGGTGTGTGTGTGTACATACATACAGGTGCTCATGGAGACTGGAAGAGCATTGACAGATTCTTGGAGCTGGGGTTTCAGGCAGTTATACGCTGCTAGATATGGTGCTGGGATCTGAACTCCAGTCTTCTGCAAGAGCAGCAAGTGCTCTTGAGCATTAAGCCATCATTTCTGTCCACAGGGAGTTTTGTCTTTCATGGTCGTCCTCCTTTTGTATTTACAATCTGAATAAAACATATCATAAAGAATGAAAATACCCAGCCTCAAACCAAAGCAAAATAATACTGAAACTTCCAAGTCTTTGGGGCTTATTTTGCATTTTTTTCTTTGCTTCCGCTCTCAAATTTTATACTAGTATTCATGCATCAGAAGCTGTAGCAAACAAAAGCACTTTTTCATTCATGCAAACTACAATGCTGACATGGAAACAAAACTAGAGACAAAATGTCCAATTTTGGTACATTTTTTAGATTTTTTTCTCATATCCCATTTTTTTGCTTGAGTTAGTGAATATAGAAATAAGAGATAATAAAGAAAATATGTTTTGTGCATATTTACCACTAGGGGCTTGTTTATGGTGGAGAAAATGCATATTTGTTTATGGCATTTTTTAAAAACCTCTTGGACCCACCCTTCTCATTTCCTGTTGTTGAAGAAGCAGGTCCTACATAGCTGTGGTCAGGTTGGAACCTGCAGCAATCTGGGGTGACAGTAGTCACACAAACCCTCACACACACATCCTTTCATTCCACACATACCTACTGCATTCTCAGTATCTGTCAGGCTCTGGGAAGAATGTGGACAAGACCCATAACATCTTTATGGAATTTTAACTGCTGGTTGTGAGTCAGAGGAGGAGAAAATGCATATTATAAGCCATTGATTTGTAAGAGCAAGTTTGTAAAGAGCTTCTGGGTGACTCCTTTCAGGTAAAAAAATACAAGGACTACTGAGTCTTAGAAGTGATTGTGGCCTTGCTGTCACTTTGAAGGGAAAGAAATGGGCCAATGAGCTTGGGAAGCTGAGAAAGATTTGAGTGGTGTGGTCAAGCTAAGCAGAGTTTTATGGTCATGCCAAGGAGTTTCTATATTGATCTCAGTATAATGATGATTTAGGCAAGTGAGTTAAGGCTCCATTTTTTAAAGGATAATTTTGATAAGGTAACTCTCCCTTCTAAGAGTAATTGACTAGAGGAAGAGTATTATGAAGCATCCTTGGGTTCCCTATGTGAAAGCATTTGACTGGATGGAGGCAATGTATGAAATAGACTTGGGTGTACCACATGCAGTACTACTGGTGAAGAGCCAAGGAGCTGGAAAAATATTGATGACATTGGAAAGTGACTGGAAATCAAGCCTGTGCATACCATTTAGGAGATGTGCTCATGTCATTGTGAATTACATTCCAATTAGAAAAGATGGTGCCTTGAAGCAAGATGAAGTAGGGACAAATTTAAGGATGACAGCTTCATTTGATGGAGTCCACAGTGTGAGCTTAAAATGCAAAGGAGAGTTAAATATATGTTACAAAATGAAAATGGTGTAGTTGCCCACTCTTTTAATCCCATCACTTGGGAGGCAGAGGCAGGTGGGTCTCTGAGATTTTGATTCCAGTCTGGTCTATATGGTGAATTCTAGGACAGCCAGAGATACATAGTGAGACCCTGGCTTGAAAACAAAACAGAAGGAGTCATAGCAACCTCATTCACACAAGAAAGGGTGTGTGTGTGTGTGTGTGTGTGTGTGTGTGTGTAAGAGAGAGAAAGAAGGAAAGAAAGAGAAGGAGAAAGGAAGGGAGAGGGGAAGAGAGATGGGGCATTTTCTGGAGGAATAAATGAATAAAAATGTAAAACATTCCTTTTCTGGAGAGTGTAGAGTTCAGTAATCATCTTTTTTTTTTCTATGTATATGTACTGCCCTTAAGCTGTGCTCACTATTTTACTTCTAAAAGGATATTGGGGATCTGGGGTTATGGGGATCTGGGGTGGTGGGGAGGTGGGGAGATAGGGAGTTGGTTCATTGGTTAAAGAGTACTTATTGTTTTTGCAGAGACCAGAGTTAATTTCTCAGCACCCATTTCAGGTGGCCAACAACTACCTGTATCTCTAACTCTAGGGTAGTGGTTCTCAATCTGTAGGTCATAACCCCTCTGGGGAGTTGAATGACACTTTCACAGGGTTTGCATAGCATATCAGATATCATACATAGCAGATATTTACATTATGATTCATAATAGCAGCAAATTACAGCCATGAAGTAGCAATAAAAATAATTTTATGTTGTGGAGTCACCCCAACATGAGGAACTATATTAAAGGGTTACAACTTTAGGAAGGCTGAGGACCACTGCTTTAGGGGATCTGACACCCTCTTCGGGCATCCACAGGTACCTTCACTCACAGATGCAATGCCCATACACATACACACATAACTAATTTTTAAAAAGAGATTGGGAAGAAGAGGATTTCAGGTAAGGATATTACATGGGGGCTAGCAGTGTGCAGGTGTCAGTGTGAGTGTCCAGCTGGATGAAGGCGAGTCAGCTGTGATTTCAGCTGAATCCAGGGGAGAGTTTCTGTAACCAGGGTCAAAACCATCCCATTAGACCATCAAAGAACCATATGAAGTCTGCATCCTTAGACATGGTGGAGATTCAAGGCATAGATACTGTACTCCTTGGAGTCAGGTCGGGGCCAACATCTCTGCAGGTCTCTGAGCCTGTCCATTTTATCTGACCTTTCTATCTTTAGGAAGAAAGCCCTCAACATGTGATTCTCCAACTGAATGCTATTGATTTAATACCCCAAATTTCAATTGTCAATATACTGGAACTGAACCCGTCTTTTCAAGGACAATGCCATGCTTGTCTTCAAAGTCATATTCTTTTATTTTTTTAAAGGTTAGGGCTCAGAATTTCTGACATTTCTGTTTAGAAATCCCCAAACCTCCCCCTCTTTCCCCCAGTCATCTTTAAGAACGGAGTCCAGTGTTTTCTCTCTGCTTCTTGCCAGTGAGTAGCTCTGCTCACAAGATGCCAGCTGCAGAAGGAACTCTCTCTCCGACTCACCAGTCCCAGGAATAAAGAGCATAATGTAACGCCGGCCCAGCTGCAGGGCCAGGGTTTGGGACCTTCTGCCTTTACACAGAACTGCTTCTTTTTTCCTAATAGCTCCCAAGATGTAATTGCATAACTTTGGGAAGGGAAAGGGGCAGGAAGAATCAAAGGGGAGGGAAGGGGAGAACGGGTGAGGGTTAGCCTCATCTCAGATATCCTGAATCCCACCCCTCTGATCTGTATTCTCAGTGGGTCCTGGAGAGACTGCCCTGCCCTGCCAGGCTATTCATGTTTTGGGCAGCTGGGTCTTTGTGTGTTCTCCTCTATTGCTGCCACTTTCTTTTTCTTTGGTGGAGTTTTTTTTTTCCAGATAGCCCATTGCATCCCCTTAGGACTGTCACTGGAGCTGCTTTGAACATATGATAGGCCACGTGTGATTTTGCAGCCGGGTGACTGTTCCTTTTCCTGATGCCTCTCTTATATCATGGGATTCCGGGTGTCTTCGCCTTCTTATACACATTTATTGAATCAGCACATACTGAAAGTTCACTGTATGCAGGAGTCATGGTAAAAGGGACCATAGGAAATGCAGTGTGCAAACAAGCAGAAGGAGTATGAGTGGCCTAGCAAGTTACCCAAAAGTTTTTGTTTTTGTTTTGTAAACGGTCTTCTCGATCCTCACAGTAGGGTTACTGTTTATTTACTTAGACAGGATATGTGCATACACGTGTGTGCAGTGCCTAGCATGCAGAAATCAGAGGACAACTTCTTGGGAGTTAGTTCTCTCTTCTAATACACGGGTCCCAGGGATGGAACCCCGGTTTTATCCATCTTGGCACCAGGTTGATTGTCTGTTGAGCCATTTTGATAACCCAGTTACAAGGACTTTTAAAAACGTGTATGTATATGGGAATTCCAAGTCCTTCCTCCCAGGAACTAAGCCTTAGTGATGGAGAGCAGGAGCTCTCACTCTAATGAAATTTACCTGGAGGTGGGCTGTTGAGTGCTTGAGAACTTGACCCACAGAAGGATATGACGGGTAATATAAATGTGAGTAACCTGAGCACTGACTGACGGCCATGCTATGGTGAAAGCGATCATGTAATTATTTCACTAGACCCATAAATGACAGGTCTGAATGGATTTGACAAAGCAGGCCAAGACATCTAAGCGGGCAGGGGAGGGGGGGCGACAGGGCTCTGCAGTTTCTGCACAGACTTGTATGCTCTGTGCCTCTGTGTGTCGTGACCTCAAGGGGGCGCTGTCATTCCTTTCACAGACTTACTTCCAGGTCCATTTCCAGTTTTCTGAAAACTGGAATAAAATAGAGATTATGTTATTATGATAATGGTGATGACGAGTGGTGACAAAAAATACTAATACAGGAATTGTCATTCTGGAGAGCAGCTGCTGGTTACTGTGTTTACTGTGTCTGTGTGCCTTTCCTGGTGAAGAATGAGTTAAGGACCATGTATGTGCACCCCATATCGCAGATGAGCTAGTTGAGGCAACAAGGCATTCCTTATCCTGTCTTTGACACACAGTGAATAATTGACAGAATGCAGGTGTGTCCCAGTCTCTGTAGTAACGAATTCTGTGCTTCTTCACAA